CAAAATTATTATCTATTGCAACACCATTCTAAATGAAAGAAGAAAAACACAGGAATTGTTCTTTTACAAACACTTTCTTTTATCAAAATCCCAGTTAAGTTTTATGGGATAAATAAAAAGCACTCTGTAGCTCTTTAGGTTGCTACTAGCTGAAAATAATTAAACTGGGAATATTTCCTCACAGAGCGCAGGAGGATTTTTTGTAACACTTCTCTGGCTCTCCCAAACTTGCCTTATTAAAAGAAATTTCAGCAGAAAGTTTCAGATGTACCCAAATGTACACTCAATCTTCTCCACAGGATTTATTCCAAAAAAATTCAGAACTCACTCCTCTGCTTAAGCAGTTATAAAGCAAAACCTACAGTTTTAATAACATACCTTGAAGGATTCCAAGAAATACAACTGCAGCTTAGCTTACATGAAATTTCATGCTGCAGTGACCACTGACTGAGATTCATCACATCTGGAGCTTCATAAATCCTTACAACTCCATCTGCTGAACAGGTTGCTAACATAAGACCCATATGCTTGGGAGCAAACTTCACATCTGTAACGGATGTCCTACTGTCCACCAGAGTGGTCCTCTTGACCTGCAAAGAAAGGTAGAGATTCTTCAGAGAAATGCTAGAAATTTCCATCAAAAATTTATTCCCTAAGGAAGGCTAAACAAAGTCTGACAACATCATTTCATAGGATCACTAACATCTTCCATCAAAAACTTAAAAAAAAAAAAAAAAAATCTTTGTTCACCAACAAATTGGAGAAATGACAGATCATCATTACAGTGATGCAAATTGAAGCATCAAGAGATATCTCACTGTGATATCAAACTTCTGATACCAAAAAGAGTTGTTCAGATTATGCTCTTCAGGAAAAGAAAAAAGCATCACCATGTAACATAAGCACAAAATAAAAAATGTACTGGCCAGAGGCAGTTTCAAACTATCCTCTTCATTCATACTGGTGACAACATTAACTGCCCTGCCTAAGGACACCACTTTCTAAATTCAGCACTGTTGAAGTTTATCATGAAGCATTTTCTCACTGAAGCACTGAAATAAGTGCTTCTGAAAAGGGAACAGGTGAATGCAGCAGGCATGGGATAGGATGAGTAGCTAAAGAGGAAAAAATTGTAAACATTTCTTTTTCAAGTAATTTCCTCTCCTGCCAAGACAGCCTGCTGAGCCTGGTTTGAGCTGAAAACCATGATCAGGACTGCACATACAAGTGAACTTTCATAACCCACTGGGTGCCAACAGTCTTGACAACCCAACTCCTCACAATATGTATTTTAACATTAGAAAACTTCAGGAGAAAGTAGAAAACTGCAGATATTTTAGCAACTTAAAATAAAACATTAGAGGCAGGAATAGTATTACACATAAAGCATAGCTAGAAAATAGTCTGCTTAGAGCTACAATTCCCATGATGAAATACTATCCTGAAAATCTACTTCTGAGCAAAATTTTTTATTTCCCAAAAGAACCTTGATCTACTGTTTGAAAGATGGAAAAGACCAGCATGAGAGAGTTTTGAATGAGCTCTTGTTAAAGAACTTAAATTCCACTGTAGATGGAAATTCACGTTTGCAAGTTGTTTGTCAGGGAACACCTTATTATGAAACACCAATAACAGTGACACTGATTGGCCTGAATGTTGCCATTTAGCTGTTTTCCCAAAATGTTGTGAAAATACTTACTTTATGTTGGAGTATTGCCACAAATGAACAAAACACAGGCAAAATCAGGAACACTTTATATTAACAGAAAAAAAACTCAAGTCTCACCCAGTGACTCTGGCCTCGGAGTTTATCATTTGACTCTCCCACTATTTCTTCCCATACAGCTGCTGTTCTATCAAAAGAGCAGGAAACCAAGACCTGCCCAAATTCAGGATGTGCCCATGTCACACGCCACACAGATCCACTATGGGTCTACAAGAGAACATCAAAACACTGTAGAGAAGCATATTTACTGCATTAGTCCAACAGACCATATATTTTTATGAGCTTCTGCAGAAGAGAATTCCTGTTCCTTTGAAAGCTCTGTTCTTTTATACCAAGTTACACAGCAGCTGTTGCATTTATTTCAACCACCACTGCAAGGTTTTGTTGCTATTAATAAGTGTTTAAAAGGCAATTATTACAAGTGTTTTTCAAAACATTTTTTACTACTTTAAGTTCCAAACTAAGATTCTGCCTTGATGCAAAAAGTTGTGCTTTGTTTTCAGTCAATTTTCAGCCATTACCATGCTTACTTCTAGCTTGCCTATACTTTTCAAAAGCATATGCAGAGCATTGCTTATCTTCTTTTTAATATGAAGCTCCTCTTTCTACCTATTCAACCTTTTTTTCTTAAAGAACGGGAATTCAAAAACTTCACTTGCATTTCCATTTACAGGTATGAATGCACTGTGGTCCTAATAAATACAAATTTAAGGACAATTCAGAAGCTGAACGCACTAATTATCCAGATGAAGCAGAGTCTCTATATGAGTTCTCAGAAAGGTTTTGGAGAAAAAAAACCAGAGGTCAGATGTTGTAACATTCAACAGCCAGACCTCTTCCTCTTTATTTTTTCCCTTTTTTTTTTTAAGTCTTACTATATGCAAAAAGGAGAATATTTAATTAAAAACAAAGGTACTGTTTGTCAACTCCCTAAACCAGTTACTGTTATGTTTACTGATATCCAAGTCTGACAACATAACTAAGTACAGAAGACTGCATGTTAGCCTCTGTTTCACATGAGAGGCATTAGAGATGTTTTATAAAAGCAGAGAAAAAGTATTTCACGTAAGACATAGAGAATCTACAAAAAACCAAAATTATTTCTACTATATAAGTCAGCAGAAATGAAGCATGTTTCTTCAAAAACAAAGGATAAATTATGGTTATGTCTGTGTAATTTTTATAAATACAAACCTTCCAGCTGGCAGTGCAATGCCAATCCCCATTTTCACTTTTGTCCCAGACCTATTGAAAAATCAAAATACAATCATACAATTTGCAAATAAAGCTTACTAAATAGTACCTTAAAAACACAGCTATACATATATATATATATATACACATCAAAAAATATAAATAAGAATATACATGCATACCACTAGACATTTTCATCTGGAAAACTGTACTTGGCTCAGTACACAACTGCACTTCACTCACCCTTGAAAATATCCCTACTACAGGTCAGGAGAAGAGGCATCGCCTGCAAAATCCACTATTGTATGACACCTATCTTTAAAAAAAGTAATTTACATGGAAGAGAAATTATTGCCATTCTCATCCTTCATTCACCGTTCCAAAAGTACACTACTCCGTTTCACTCTAGAGCCCTGACTGTCCTCTGGTGCTCAGCTCTGGCTGCAAAACCCTAAGGCAGCACCCAGCACCCATCCCAAAGACAGAGCAGGACAGCAAAAAGAAATCAAGGTAGTGCGGGAACAGATTTGTTTCTAATATATCTGCCTTGATTTATAACCACATGCCGATCCTTCCCCTCTCTTGATTTCCCATACGTCTTCATCATAGTTATGAAGGAAGTCATAAGCATAAACAAATGAAAGACACCTCTAGAAGCCTGCCATCCACTCCTGTTTGTCACTCGTTCACTTTAAAGCTTTACTGGAGCCCAACTCTGTAACTTTTCCCCAACTCCTATTCCACAGGGCCCACATAATGAGAACAAGACCCATGCCACATACAAGTCCTGTAAAACTCTGGTTAGAGTAAAACTTCGGAAGACCGTCTCATAAAGGATTCAGTTACAACTGGAAAGTAACATTACACTGCTGAAGAACATAGCTACTGCACTCTACCTACCTCTTGGCATCTTTCTTAACAACATCCTTTTTAGGCTGCAAGTTCTAGGTAGTCAGTCCAAACCAAAGATTTACATGGTTTTGGCTTACTTTTGGGAGGACTATTTTGTTGTTGTGGTTGGTTATTTGCTTTTTAATCTGTGCTGAGGGAGAAGGGGCTGCTCGCTTGTTTTTAAGCATGATCTAAATGTGACACAGCTTTCTACGGAAAAAAAAGCCATTTTCTCAACCATCTACCCGATCTAACGAAAAACGTGACTGCTTTTTAAATTACATTTCTTAGTAAAAAATATCCATGTAACCGCGTAATCCCTGTAACTCCTGAATTTTTTTTCTGTCTTCTCACTATGCACAAAAAAGGGAAAAGGCAGTCAACTTTTCGTTTAAACAAACATAAACTGTTACTTTATTTCCTCTAAAGGAATTAAGATATGCAAAAAATTTTACAGTTTCCCGCATCTGCCAGAGCACACGTGGAGCACTTCAGCCTTTTGCTTACTGGCACTTAATTATGAAATAGCATTTTCTTCCCTTAATAAATACAGATTATCGGCGCTACATTATGAAGCAGTAGTTTCTTAACTTAATGTTAATAAATACAGATTTTCAGTTGAATCAACAGAACAAGCGCCACGGCCGTAGCCACAAGAGCTCGGGAATGTTTTCCTAGGTGGAGCCCTGGGTGGGAAGCGGCGTTCCCGTGTTTACAAGCGTTCGCGCACACAAACACACAAACACACGTGCCGTATGTGCGGATGCCTCCCGCCTCCTCAGCCTCCTGCACCCACAGCCCGTCACCGTCCCGGTGCCTCCCGCGGGACGAGCCCCCGGCAGTCCCGCGGCTCCGCCGGCTCCCCGGTAGGCCGTGCACCGCTGGTACCGCGGCACCCCCGTCGCCGGCACAAGGCCCGGCGGGTCCTGCTGACCTTGACGCTCTGGTCGCTGGAGCAGGTGGCCATGCGGCGGCCGTGGAAGTCGAAGGACACATCGTGGATGAGGTCGCGGTGATCGGCCGCGATACTGCGCGCCACGAACATCCCGGCGCGGCCGCCACGCGGGGCGGGGGGCGGGAACACGCCCGCGCGCGCAGCCGCCGGCGCCCGCCGCGCTCGGGAGGGCGGGCCCGCGCTTGCGCGCTCCTGCCCGACCCCCGGGGCAAGGCGGGGAAGGGACGGGACGGGGCTGGGACGGGGTGGGGCGGAAGGGTTATTGGGGGTTGGGGCAGGGCGGCCCTCTGGGGGAAGTTACCCCCCCAGCCGCGATCCACCGCGACAGGGCCCTTCCCGTAGCGATAGGACGAGAGCACATAGCGTGAAAGCTGCTCTAGGGGCGGTTTAGGTTGGACGCCAGGAGGGATTTCTTCACAGAAGGGGTGATTAGACTTGGATGGGCTGCCCAGGGAGGTGGTGGAGTCACTGCCCCTGGAGGTGTTTAAGGAAAGACTGGACGTGGCACTCAGTGCCATGGTCTAATTGACGTGGGGGTGTTCGGTCACAGGTTGAACTCGATGATCTCAGAGCTCTTTTCCAGCCAAATGGATCCCGCGATTCTGTGTGGTTCCCAGCCCGGGGCTGCGGGCTCTGCAAACAGCGCCGGTGCGTGTGGCGCCCTGTGGAGCGAAATCCCTTCAAACAGCGAATCCGAAAGCTCAGGAGCTCGCCGTAACAATACAGGTCAATAAAGAAGCAAACACTCAGCGCGGCAGTGTGTGATGGACCGCATTTGCTTCTTTAATAATTTACTGTGTTAATGAACGCTGTCAGACGAGCCCTCTGGTGTGAAAGAACGTGAGACCTGCTTCTCGAGGAGAGGTATATAAGGGATACGTTTGGAAGGTTTTATAAGAAGGATGAAGCATGTGATGTATCATGCAGGGAGGGGAGGAATCCCCAGGCACGTTGGAAGCTCCTACAAGGAAAGGCTGAGAGAACTGGGTTTGTTCTGCCTGTCAAAAAGGAAGGCTTCGGAGTGACCTAATTGTGACCTTCCAGTATGTGAAGGGAGCCTGCAAGAAAGATGGAGAGAGACTTTTTAAAAGGGCATGTAGTGACGGGACAAGGGTCAATGGCCTTAAAATGAAGGTAGATTTAGATTAGATATTAGGAGGAAGTTCTTTGCTGTGAGGATGGTGAGACACTGGAACAGATTTCCCAGAGAAGTTGTGGATGCCCCATCCCTGGAAGTGTTTAAGGCCAGATTGGATGGGGCTCCTAAGCACCCTGGAAAGGTGTCCCTTTCCATGACAGGTGAGTTGGAACTAGAGGATCTTTAATGTCCCTTCTAATCCAGGCGATTCTACGAGTCTAAGTGAGACAAGGTGAATAAGATCCAGACTATGAAGTAGAAGCAGAAGAGACTTTCACGTGGTAGAAAACTCATCCTGAGTGACTGAGCTCTGGGCAGGAGCTATAGACTGATAATTACTAGCCTGTAGTCAGTGCAAAATTAATTAACTAAAAGCAGATGAAGACTCATGAGAACTCAACACTCTCACTGCTGACGTACCACCTTCCAGGGAGCTCCTCACCAGCAGAAGCACTTTCTTCCAATATACTGCAACTCACAAACTGGATCGTGCAGCTCACAGTGCTAATATTTTTTAAGTACCATTCATTCATTGTATCACTGAGCACAAGACCATTCCAGCATCTTTTTTTAAGAAATACTTCATCTGTAAGCCATGTTATTTACTAGCTATTCTGAAGATAACTACAATGGCTGATAAATCTTAACAAAGAAAAAATAATTTGTTCTGTACAATCCAAATAGCAATAATGCAGCTAGTAGATTTAGGAGAAAAACTAAATAATAATGAAATTATGGTGGTGATAATAAACAAATAAACAACAGCAAACACAGTTGTATGTAACTGTTGTTATATTTCAGTTCCAAAACAGTACTGAAGTCATTAGGACACCTTCATTACCTTATTCTTATGATACAGTTTTCCAATCAGCAGTAGAGAAGGAAAAAGAATGAGATGCTGGAAAGCAGTGCCATGGGAAAGGACCTGGGGGTCCTGGTCGATGGTAAGTTGAATATGAGTCATTAGTGCCCTGGCAGCCAGGAGGGCCAACAGTGTCCTGAGGGGCATCAGGCAAAGCATCACCAGCCAGTTGAGGGAGGGGATTGTCCTGCTCTGCTCTGCGCTGGGGCAGCCTCACCTTGAATATTGTGAGCTGTTTTGGGTGCCACAATATAAAAACGATACTAAGTTATTGGCAAGTGTCCAAAGGAGGGCAATGAAGATGGTGAAGAGCCTTGAGGGGAAGCCGTATGAGGAGCGGCTGAGGTCACTTGGTCTGTTCAGCCTGGAGAAGAGGAGACTGAGGGGAGACCTCATTGCAGTCTACAACTTCCTTGTGAGGGGAAGAGGAGGGGCAGGCACTTACCCTTTCTCTGTAGTGACCAGTGACAGGTTGCGAGGGAATGGCCTAAAGTTGTGTCAGGGGAGCGTTAGGTTGGATATTAAAAAAAAAGGTTCTTCACCAAGAGGGTGGCTGGGTACTGGAACAGGCTCCCCAGGGAAGTGGTCACAGCAGAAGCCTGACAGAGTTCAGGAGTTGTTTGGGCAATACTCTTGGGCACATAGTGTAAGTTCTTGGGGATGGTCCTGTGCAAGGCCAGGAGTTGGACTCAATGATCCTTGTGGGTCCCTTCTAGCTCAGCATATTCTGTGATTCTATGAAATAGAAAGTTCCCTAAAATCAGATGTATTTATATTCTCTTGATTCAAGTCTGATTCAGACCTTTTCTAGAACATTTTTGGTATCTGCAGCTTTAACAGGAGATTAATTTTACCATTTTCAAAAGGATTTTTGATTCTCCTCAACTCATTTAAAATTTTCACGTTCAGTCATGGCAATGAGAAAGTCACATTCTGTCCACTTGGTGAATAGAATTTATTCAGGGATGTCCAAATACTTCACAGAATTGTAAAGAAACCATTACCTGCTTGTAGAGTAAACCTGACAGTTTGATATTTAATGCATTTGTTTTTGCAAACTGTAAACTAGATTCCATAGGTACTGTTGGAGCTGCTGTTATCACGTGCCATAGGGATCACTTCACTATTTCTGCATAACTTGCATTATTAATATGCAAGTATTTAACACCGTAATGCATATGTTTCATTGTCAGGCCTTATATTAAGACTAGGTATGCTGGTAGCCAAATTTGATAAGGAATTAAAATAGATTAATGATAATAGATTAAGATAAATGACAACAAACTTGGACTTGAAGGGACACTGTGGCTTTAAAATGCTAGGACTTCATTATTTTTAATGATACCAGGTGATGCCTTAAGCCCCCAATGTTTTTTATTTTTCTAATTTTGTAAGCCTTATAAGTTTTATAGGTAATAGAAGTAGATTTTAGAAACCCTTTCTCTCTCCTCCCCTAGCACCCCTTAGTTTATACATTCCTTAATCCTCTCACCCCATTCCATACCCCCATATCAACCCTATTCCCATATCCAGTAGAAAATGTTTAGTCTCTTAGTCAAGGCAAGCCTGTCTTGTTTGGAGAACGCTTGTATCTTGGCCTAAACCGCAGGACAGAGTCAAGGAACTAGGTCACCCTGCTCTCTGTACCCCGAAGATGATGAAGAATGATGAAGAGGGGGTCCCAAAAAGCCCCCCGACCCAATTCCAGGAGGCGGGCCAGGGGGTGGACCAGGCCAAAAGTTATAGGGTGGGCACACTTGGGATTGGCCAGATATTGTTATAAATGTAACATCCCGGGCACAGCCCGGTGTGCGCCGTGTAACATCTATTTGCCTTGGCATAATTAAACCCTTTCTTATCTCACCCCAGCTAATGGCTCCTAGATTCATTTCGTAGCACCAGCTGAGCAGGCATCACAGGTAAGGAAATGTTAACATGTTGAAGAGTATTTTCTTGGCCAAGTACGGGGAATAAGATATAAAATGTTCTCAATTACAGAGAATAGCAAATATGGAAGTATTTAAAAGAAGTTACTAGCTGGTTTTATATTCTTATCTAAGTTAGCCAATGATAGTTTTAAAATGGTATTTTTAAAAATACTGCAGAGCTAAATCTTAAGGGAGAACAACAGCTGGAGTTGAAAAGAAGAATTTGCAAGTTGTTACCAAGAAAATTTAGACATCTATATTTTAGCTGTTTATATTAGTGGAAAATTTGGGTTGAATTTGTAAATAACAGAAAATTTGCAAAGCATTTAAAAAATAGCTAAAGAAAGGAAGAGGTTAACATTTTCTTGTTTCTGAAGATGAACTGGTATTGCACAATTCCTCTCCTAGAGGGAACCCTCACTGTGGACTGTAGGGCCATGGTACAAGTACTCTTTTTTTCCCCCTGCAGTCACATGCAATGTGCACTTTGGAGGTTGACGTTTCACTATTTTCTAATAGGTAAAATTTAAGTAATACAATAGGAGAAGCAAGCATATGTGATTGTTCCTGATAGTTCCAGTGCTGTAATTGGAGAGATATTAAGTTTTTCATGCTATTCCCATATGTAAGAATAAAACAACAACAAAAAACCCAACAAATAATATTAATACACTTATTTGGATTGCTAAAGAGAAAGTTTTTTTTACTCTTTCAGCAAAATTAGAGACATTTGTACTTTGAAACTTCAATTATTGCTTCATTCAAACAGCTGGAGAGACAGTGCCTAATAAAAACATTGAAGCTGAATTATAAGTTCTTTAGTTCGTGGCAGTGTATCTGAACAGTTGATTTTGTTAGCTCTTTTTGGGAAATGTCTTTTACAGTAAACCATTGGTTATATTTATAAAAAATTGTTTCTTTTTTTTTCTAAGAAGAATTGTTTCCAGTCAGTGATTCAGCTGTCAAAATCCAGTTCTTTTGCAATTTTTAGTAATGATTTTATCAAGACTTAGAGTATGTTACAAATTCTGAGTTAATATTCACCTGATTAAATTCAGTTTATTTCTTCAGCCAGTAATATCAGTATAGTTGGAGAAGGGCAAAATTGTCAGACACAAATAGTTGGCATCAATCTGTTTCATTTGAATAATATATAAATGTGTAAATTTATATATTATTCAAATAATATATATATTTTGTTTGAACTGAAATGTTTGACTTTTTTGACAAGACATGGAAGTTGAACACTTCAAATCAAAATTAGGCTTTTTTTCTAACATTTTAGTTTGGTCAGTAAGCAAAAAAAAAAAAAAAAAATTATTTTTTTAATACACATACACAATTATTTGTTAATTTAGTTACAGCCTACCCATGACCTCATTCTCTTGATCCAAAGCAGGTAAATCAGTTTAGATTTATTTAGAGACTGGGTCCAAAATCTTGACTTACTTAAAAAAATCCAGGAAACATATGGGGGATTGTCATCCTAGAATGTCAGAATGTTAATATACTGTTGTATCTGATTTCAGTCAATACCCAGGAATGATGTAAATACATTTACCTCATGTAGACATTTGTATCAGATGTTTTTTGTTAGTAGAAAGTCTGACACAGAATGAAGGTTCAATAGAGGAAATGCTTCATAGCAAAAAATCAGAATTAACAAAGGGATGAGAGGACAAGATAAACCCTTTGTTAAGGCAAGTAGTCATTAAATAGACAGTCAAGTAGGGTGAAAGGCATCTGGAATAATGAAGAGGCATTCACATCTTCTGGGAAATGAAACAATGCTTGTTTTAATCCTTTTAAATGGCCAGACTATCTCT